TAAAGTATGCCCGAGAGGTACGGGTTGCAATACTCCTATAGATGACATTAACGTCAAGGGACGCGTGGAGCTTGGAATCCACCTCGACCTCTGTAAATCGGAAGCCTACCCATGTTCACTCGGGTGTGACCTCACCTCATTGCCGACCGACATTGTAGTGTCCACATGCAGTGGGAGTGTGCGTTTGGGAGACATGTACCACATTACGGCAAAAGGCGACGTTGTGGTGAACGACAACCTGGACTCGCTTGCAAAAGGCCCAGCTAAACGTGATGAACTGCGAGTGCACCTTAACAAGGACGAACGCTCCTGTGTCGTCTACACTGCCGGCGCGGACCCCGATCGGCGCGACCACGGCGTATGCATTATCGCCTCTAACTTCATAGAACCGAATGGTAGATTGGTGGCCGAAGAACTAGAGGTGATGGAAAGGCCTGGGTACACGAAACTCGAACCACAGACTGGGGTGAACAATGAGGTAGATGGCTCCATGATAGTGGACTTTTACATACGCCCCATCGCCCCGGATTTACAATATGACAAGTTTTGGTTTTCTCTTAACCCTGTGAGCGAACAATGGTTTCAACCTCCAGCTAATGTGAAGACGCGCAGGGCGGGAAGCCCCGATCAGGTCCGTGGGGGGCTGACGATATGCAGAGGAGATGCATCTGTCTTCATAACGGCAGCAGGCATGGTTCACCTTAACGGACCTGTGTGGGTGCACGTTGGTACTAGCACCGATCAGGAGAGCCCTGGAGTCAGAACGGTGGTTGTGTTTGAGTGAATGTCTCCATTTTGTCAATGTGATCTCCCGAACATAATTGTACACTGTTGGTCACGGAAAGATCACATCTGTTGTTACTACCCCAGACTGTACATGAAACCAAATAAAGTTTGTCTTGTACCTACTATAAACCGAGTCTGTGAACGTTTTGGTATTACACAGCACACGTACTCCATACATAGCAATGCGTGCACCACCGCCAGCGTCTTGGTTCGCTGATCCTGTACGCATTTCCATTTGCTTACATGGAAACGCTTCATGTACACGGCCCGCGGTAGTGCCCGCTTGGCGTCCGGGGTTGTGGGGCGTACAATACCGGCTACGATGTGCTTATTTGCCAAGGACATGACTGTAGACACAACACAAGTCTGCTACCCTGTGCTGTTCTGTTAAAAAAGCTCCTGCTCTGGGTCGGCTGGCTCGGTGCTGCAGGTCGGCGGCTTCGGTGCTTCAGGTCAGCGGCTCCGGTGCTGTAGGTCGGCGGCTCCGGTGCTGCAGGTCGGCGGCTTCGGTGTTGCAGGTCGGCGGCTCGGTGCTGCAGGTCGGCGGGCTCGGTGCTGCAGGTCGGCAGGCTCGGTGCTGCAGGTCGGTGGATACTCTTCTGCTGTACTACACTCCTCAAGGATATAAGCCTTGTCTTTACACCAACTTACACACACTTACGACCGACTGTCAATACAATGCGTTGGTTTACTGTGATTGCTACTCTTGGCCTTGTCCTAGTGGGACCTGTGTTGGCTCAAACCGCATGGAAATCTCCGTGTCCACCACTGAACTGCAGGCCTCCTGTGTTGTCTCATCTGATCACGGATGGTAGCAGGCGGCTAACAGTGATACACCGGTATGCCCAAGATCATCTGGACTACAGGCCACAGGCTAAAGTGATATCGGAGGTTATATGTGGAACGGAAGAGCACCAATGTATACCTGAATTTGACAAAGACGATGGGACCCAATGGAGTAGTAGCTGGCGTTATGGGGCTGTGAAGTGTGATGTGCAACTCACGAGCCCTGATGCGTTACAACACAATTGCAAGGTACGTCTTAATATAGGTGGCATACGAGAATCAAACAGCCACGTGAATCCGCAATGTGGAGTAAAGATGGCCAGCCCCACTCTGTCCGTGAGTTTCGACGAAGTGACTTTGAGCACATTTTCCACGATTTGGACTGCGGACTACACTGCGGAGATTGAATGGACCGTCACAGGTGCCGATGAGCCGAGTGGGGTGAATACCGTCCAATGTGAGAATGGCAAGCTTTGTGTAGCTCACATTCAAGACCTTGTGACCTCAAACTACACCATTAGAGCACGCGTCCGACAGCAACAGAACACCACAGGCATACTATGGAGCGAGTGGAGCAGGGTTCTATCTCGGTCTGCGGCCTGTACACACCCTGTACGTTTCCAATGTCACAGGGATGCCCGTAGTGGAATCCACTGTGTGTATCGATGCTTTCCACCCACACAGGACACTCTTTCGAGACTGAAGGTCACATGCGGGACTGAAGTCCGTCGGTGTACGATGAAGTCTACACAGCAAGGTCTGGAGTGCACGGCGGAATTTTCCACCGGAGACCTTCTGGGTACTACACAGTGTCACGTTGCGGTGCTGTTCAACTACGCAGAAGCGGACAAGGGCACAATCTCCATCTAATGTGCAACTATGAAACGTCAATATCAAACCACCCAAGGTTTTAGGCAGATGACAGAGC